GGGGGGGGCGTAGGAAACCAGAGGGTTTATGTAACCCAAGACTTCATAGAGAAATCTCTGGAGGCCCAGAGCTTCACACACAAAAAGAGGCAGCTTTGCGCTCCTCTGTTCTGCAATTTATTAACTCAATGTTGCCATGGTTTCACCGCACTGACGTGATTGTCCTTGTGAATCTATGCGTGACCGTGGTGTGCTTGTGCAGTGCAAGACAAAAAACAGCCATTCGGTCATTAAATGAGTTCCAGAGCACCACCTCCCATCCAAATGAACAACCTAAGAGGAATATAGTCAGGCTTCGGCCAGGTCTCCAGTGTGAGTACCTGCCGTTTGTTGCAATCTCTTTTAAGGATGTGCCACCTGAAGTTGAGCAATTCAGACAGAAAGTATTGATGCGTGAGGCTTAGGCAGGAAGGATGTACAAATCACATTCATAAAACAAACAGCACCACACACTCAGACCTCTCTGTCGCGCCTGATAATGACTCATTAGTTTTCAAATCCTCTATTTAGTATGAGCTCACACTCTCCCTCAGAATGTGTCCGTGTTCCTCTAAATAATCCTGTTGTAAACAGCGTGGACTTGGTAAACTAATGAGGTACGGAGTAGTTTTCCGACCCCTATCCTCCCCCCGCCTGTCTGTGGAAAGCGGAGAAACTTCTCCGTCCAGCTCACATCCCGCCTCCTCGGCTTTATCCCTTTTCCCGATGCGGCGCCACCTACCCTGCTTCCAAAGCTTTTGAAACTCTTTCAAGTGAGACAGCCTGCAGCTGAAAAGAGATAAGGCTTGAGCTCTTCATAAATATGATAGAGAAAGCAAAACGGCAGACTGAAGAGGGGGAAGAGGCACGGGAGGAAAATGATTGGGAACGGGAAACTGAGGGTGGATAGAGACAGAGACAGATGGAGCTGGAAAGGAAAAGAGAGGCAGAGGAAAGAAGAAAGGTGGGAAACAGAGATACAGAGAGACAGGAGGGTGAGGGAGAGAAGGCTGAATACTGTGAGCTGAATGAGTTATGAGATGTAGGTGGCAACGCGGCTACATTCAATTCATCCTCTTTATCACATTCATGATGAAGCGCTGTGTAGTCTCTGTCCCCTTCCCCTCCCTTCAGCTACCTGAAGTCATGTGTCTGCAGCGCGGCTAATCTGTCACACCCACTCATCGCTGTCTCTCCAGCACAAATAAAGAATACTTACATGCACGGTTTTAATATATTGTGAGACTGTGGTGAGTTTCACCTGATTATCCATTACTTTTTTGGTATACCAAAAACCCCACAGACATATTGTTGGAGCGCGAGTCAGCCAGCAACCTTTCCGCTGGCAGTACGGCCACACTGTGTTGTCAGATGAGGGGAATGAAAGCTATGCAATATTTTAGGAATGCTCCCTCTTGGCTTCTACTGTGCCCTTACAATTGAACATAACACAAGAGCTATGAAGAGGAGAGGAGTTAAAGCAATAATTAAATTCATTATCGACACACATTTTATGAGAAGTTGGAATAAGTGAAAGGTGGATATTTAAAAAAATGTAAGCCAGCTATAGAGTTTCAATTAGACTTTGATGCACCCCTTTGAGATGAATTCAATAGAGTACATTTGAGTAAATAAGGAGCAATAACTATGATTCAGAGTCTCAGCCAGGACTGTGTCCACCACCATTTTAACATGCAGAAGGTAGCTAGCAATGCAAACATTTGCAACAATGCTGACAGAGCTCAGAGTAAACCAAAACAAAGAACAAAGAAGTTCATATCACAACGCACACAGAGGAAGAGGGCTTTCATTGTCTAACCAGGTAGACATTACTCCACAATATATTACATTGCATATACAGTGTAGATGTCTTCTACTATAGTAATCTTCTGAGTGTGAAATAATAGAGCTTCCAAATGATTATTGACTATCAGAGTTGCATTGTTTCTTCTTCCATGCATGGACAAATTGTCCACCAGAGCCCACTCCCAACCATAACATTATATTTCAAACACAGAAAATGTTTTCAAGGGATTTGTCTTGACTCTTGTGAAAACACACAACACACATCAAACCTGTCTGAGCAATCAGAAATGTCAGCTTGTACTAATGTCACATTTCTAAAAGGTCACAATGCACTTGGATTCAGTTAAACTGCCAGTGTTGTGGACGGCTACCGACTGCACGCATGTTGAGCACTCACCCTCGCATTGGCCACGCAGATTATCCTGGCGTAGCAGCAGATCATCAGGAAGATGAGGCTGAACAACGGCACGTACCATCTGCAAACGAACAAACACGAGCAGGTCGTAAAGGAACTACAAATGAGCAATGTTATACAGTGTTATTACAAGAACGTTTGATTTACTGTGGCTTGCTTATAGTCTTGGATCAGGAGGAGGAAGGGGAGGTTTTTGATAAGTCTTTTAGAATAAAGAAAATGTCAAATGACGAAAAAAAAAACTGGATTTAATTTGTTTCTTAGCCACGAGTAGAGTGTCATATACCCTAATGGAATTTATACTATGATAGGATGTAATAACATACTAGGTCCAATGTTTAAATATTAGCACTGTCTAAACCGATTATAGATACAACAACATTTAATAAGATTTCCTCTGCGGCAATGCAATCTGAGAAGGTTGTTATTGTTAGATATGATTTGGACCTGGACCAAAGCAAATTCAGATGTTTATGCAAAACCCTTGTTACTCAGCTTTTATATTATCTTGTATCTTGATTTTAAACATGAATCATTCCTCATTTCATGCACTCATGCCACAAGCATCCATTAAGGAATGTTTATATAAAGGTTACACTGTTCAGACGGTGTAATCTTTGCACCATTTTCCTAAATAGCTGATTAATAGATGACACATAGTTTGTGCATAGACAGCAAAGAGTAGAACAGGCCTGACTCAGCACACGGACCCTGCTGCTCATAGTTTCAGTGAGAAGATAGAGAGGCACACAAAGAACAAAAGATAATGCCAGTCAAGTCGCAACACCGGAAATGCGTGACATTCCTACGGGATGAAGGGTTGACAATCGAGGGAGGCGCGGCGGAGAATAACATGTCAGGTATTTCTAAGCGAATGAAAGCGAGCGAGACGAGCGAGGAAAACAGTGGAGAAGGATTTATTGGAATGGCAGCCTTGTTTTATGCAACCTCTTGGGAGGTGATGTAAGCTCGGAGGAGTTTCAACCTCTCCCTGTTATCATGAAACGGGCCTTTGTCTCCCTTTGATAGACAGGTTCCTGGCCACCACGTCTCTGTTCAGCCTCGGTAACTCTGAGCAGTCGAGACCAAAGACCTCCTGAGCACCTGGCACTGGCAGGGAGGCGCCGGCCAAATGCACCTACGTGATAATCATATTATATTGTGCAGAGGGAGGACATCAAGAGTTACCACGGGCTTGAACATGACCTAGAGGAAAACAACTGACATTCAAAGCAGAGAGAGTGAATCTGCGTCCGAACCATAAATACAGGCACACATGCTTTCAAAACTAAATGGATTGGGAATAAATGTCCAACACTCTGCTATAAACGGCAACTTTAAGCAGGATAAAAAAAACGAAAAATAGTGGGTCCTTGGCCTAATTTAACTTCGTCCACACTTGTTTTTCAAGCCTGGGGGTCCAGAAAATCCTGTGTGGAATTAAACTTTTTATTGGCAGGGGATTCTGAGATGGTAGGCGTTTTGTTTCACAGCAGAAAACAGGGAGAGGGAAAGGCTGCTTGACACATCGTGTTTCTTCATGTCTTGTAGGGAACATCTATATACAAAGAACACCCTCTTTGAACACGCGTGTATGTGCGCGTCCACGCAGGTTCAATAATGGCACGGGACAATGATGAAAGCGTTTCAGGGGAGACCTGCGCGAGCGTCACCTCAGTGTGATTTAATAACCCAGCTCTCCGGAATAAACAGGGTCCAATTACGCCAGCGCACGTCCCGTTAATGATGGAGAGACGAGGTGGGGGGGGAGTAGGGCGGGCTGGTGGAGAGGAGAAAGGAGGGGGTGGCCTTTTTAACGATAGCGTGGGGGGGCTGCGAGGAAGAGAGAATGACGGGCGGCAGCTACAAAGTGCTCTAATTAGCATGATAATGATCTGCCATTAGAGTCCGCTGTGCTCTACAGCTGAGCACTACCCAGAGAGAGAGAGAGCGAGAGGGAGAGAAAGAGCGGAGGGGAGAGAAGACTGAGTGGGCAGGGGAGGATAAAAGTGAAGACAAGAATAGAGGTGAGGATGGAAAAAGGTGGATGCATGACAGCAGATTGTGGGTCAGGAACAGGAAGAACAAAAATAAGAAAGAAGCAGCGGGTGATTAAAAGACGGGGAGAGGGATACGTTTGCAGTGAGAATAAAAAGCCGGCTGCAGCCAGGAGAACGACTATAGGGAACGACGGAAAGAGGGATTTCAAGAGTGAGCAAGGATGGAAGCCTGAAACTGGCAGGAAGAAAGATCGTCACAAACAGATTCAATTTCTCTGCCTCGGCCTGGCCCTCCCTCCAGCAGCACTCTGAAGTAAAGAATGAGGCCTGGATGAAAGCAGCTTTAATTGAAGTGCTAGTAGGAGAAGAGAGAACTATAGGGACCCGACTGTGCGGGTTAGTGCTCGACTTGGACAAACAAGATCCTACTGCTGAGAAAAAGATCACGATCTACCTGTTCAACCACTCAGACAGGGAGGACACAAGCCGAGGGAGAGAGAGGGAGGAGGAGGCACAAAGGCCAGGAAGAGCAGGTATAGGGCGTCACCACATGCACTAATGCAAAAGTTAAAAGGAAAATAGATTATAGCCATGCTAGTGACTGTGTGAGGGTGTAGTCTGGAGTTAAATGTTAGTTTCAAAAGGCTCCCAATTGCAGTTTTACAGAGTTTACGAATTGCTTTGGTATGCAGTCCAAAAACAGGATACAAGGCAGTGTAAACAGCGCAGCAGAAAGCTAAACAGTAAAGGCAAGACACAAAAGGTTGTTTATCAGGAATAATGTTTCATCTGAGTAGTGTTTTTGCATGCTTTTATTAGCTTTTGAGCACTTAACGCTAAGTACAGCTGCGATTGACAAAAATATCAATTGTTTTGTCGATATTTTGTCATAAATATAGAGGTTAAGAATTTAACCTGGTGATTGCACTGATTGAAAAGGTCAAGGATCACCGAAGTTATTACAATCTATTCTGAGAGGAATATAAACGTGTGACCCAAATTTCATGGCAATCCATCTATTCCAGTCCCCTCTCTACTTTGAATTATCTAGTAAAAAGCTTGAAATTCCCCAAAACATTGTCTTTTTTGAAGATATAGCCAATGGTAACCATGAATCTAATCTAAAAGTACAAAAAGTAGTGTCAGTCTATTTTGTAGATTTTATAAAGTTTCATTCATCATTCATCCTCTAGGCAAAATGAATATATGTAATACATGTCATGGCAATCCATCGAATTGTTGCAAAGACATGCAACTAAAAAACTGAAATTCAAACCTTATGGTGTTGCTAGAGGAATAGTCAGAATTCACCAAAGTCTTTATGATTCATCCTCTGTGAAATATGAACGTATGTGCAACATTTCATGACAATCCACCCAATTCATGTTGATATATTTCAATCAGGACCATTAGGCGCTTTCACACCGGAGTACTTTTCCCAGGAACTAGGCCGATAGTTCTTGGGGTTTTGGTTTCACACCAAAAATATCTGGAACTAGAACCTAGTTCGCGCTAACCTTTTCACCCCCAGATAGTCCCTGCTAGAGAGTCAAGCCCCCAGGAAGTGAGCCGGACTCTGAGGAAAATATTAGTTGTGGCCAAACGGCGGTACTACACTTCCGTATCAGTCGCTGGGCACGGAAAGACTTTTTCCCGTTGACTAACATTGGGAAAGAGACGTCTGTAAATCGTTGGATAATTTATTTTAAACTAAATAAACCACCCAGTATGAACATTTGTATAGGCCTTATTAAAAACATTCGGTCCTCAAGTTGTAAAATGTGCTAATAACGTTATTCTGAGAGTTATTTTCCTCTGTTATGAACTCGGATCCAACCCACGGGACTGCGCCACAGGGCACGTTCATGTGACCTGTTCAGTACTACATGAGTTTTACTTTTACCCATGGATGCACAATAAGAACGGATTATTTGATTATATGAATACTTTCGTGACGTTTCGCTCTCTCAAAAGTAGGGCCATTTTGTCTTCATGCGCCAATGAGCAACTCTCATAGGAATGTACGAGGCCCCGCCTCCTACGCTGTATCCAGTTCTTATTATACATCCATGAGCCAGAGGCGACTGGCTTCCCTTGCCTCACAATCCAGTCAAATCGCATCAACTTAGTGGTGTAGTGACGCGTCCTAAAACCCGGAAGTAAGCTGCGCTCTGGTTCCCTCGACAAAAAAAGCAAATGGGATTTC